AAAATGCTCACTAAAACTCCGTTGTCTTCAAAACAAATGCCACACATTTGGCCCAAACTCTGGAAAGACATAGAGCTTAAGCCGATCGCCAATAATAGTGACCAATAGGTGTGCTCTTTGTCGTAGTCGTCGATCACCGCCACGACTGACACCACTATTATAATCAATGGTATTAAATCCATCACTGATTTGACCACAAAGAATGACTCTGCGCTGTACCAGACTATAGTTGCAATAAATTACCAAGACAACATTAAATGTTACATTAGAACTGTATAATTTAAGAATAAAATTAATTAAAATATAAAATTGGATTATTTATCTTGATAAAAGTATCAATACAATGATAAATGTGAACCAATCACACTATTTAAAAATAGTAGTAACCCTTATTTTAAATTAAGTTAGTTTTTAAACAAACAGTTAATGAGTTTAAGAGTGTTAAAGACACAAGTCTGTATTTCTCGAAATAAAGACTACTGTAAAAGTAACGCGAATCTTAATTTACCATCTTCTTAACTCTCCGCTAATCTTTCCGTATGTTAAGATACAATATTAACCTAAGTTTTAGGTCTTCCATGTCTTGTGCCGTTTGTCGGCACCCATTGGATCCGTTGACAGCAATCGGTACACAACCAGACAAATGGTTGAAATCAAAATCAAACATTAACGTTACAGTGTATGTTAATATTAACATAACTATAATTTCTGCCACCAATTGTTTCCAGAGATATGCGAAGATATTAGCGATGGATCTGTTGAATAGATGGTATGTATTGACGATAGAAAACGGTTTGCTTTTAATTAAAATGCCGTTTGAATGCAATTTTAATTGACTCTCAAGTCGTCGGCAGTTATTTCTCATGTTTTCATTTGTTTTGTCCGACAATTCAATTTGAAAAACTAGTCATTTCGGAAACCGCCGCTAGAAGTACTCATGGAGTTACCCCTAGACAAGGGATAACATACACTATAATGTAACAACATTTACATTCCTGTCCACAAAGCCACCTGGCCTCATAACGGTGAGCCCTCCTTTGGCCAAAACATACAGTGAGTCGAAAAGCATTAGTATTTCGAGGTTTGGCTGATGTATGGATGTTATGATCGTTAGGCTATGTCTTTGAGACAACTTTTTAAAGCACTTTATCATCTGATAAACAAATTATTAAATCAATTAATGGATAATGAAATTTATATATGAAAACACAGTATTACTAAAAGCGCTGAATAGCTGTCGACACCACTCGTGGGTTCGTCAACACAAATGAGATTAGGTTTGATGTCTGGCGTCAACTCCATTGCCATCACAATCCGCTTCTGTTGACCGGAACTGCATTTCTCCACATTTACACCCATTATGTCAGTTATGGCCAACTCTTGCAT